TAACTTCCAACACAAACAAGGCCTTTTTCAATATTTTTAGTTATGTTGTCTATAAGACAAACTTGTATTTGTATTACATACTACTATTATTTGACTGAGTAGGTAGATTTTTTGTGTATAAATCGAGTCGCTTAAGGTGCAGCTATGTATGAGAAGGCCGTTTTGGAGGTTATCTTGTGGCGTTTCAAGGCTTTCTACTCATTCCATTGTGGAAAAGCTCATCAACAGTCCGTAGTTCTTGTCACTTTGATAAGCTGTAACTCTGTGAAAAAAATGGCGCTTCTCACTGACAATGCCGACTTCTGGGAATGCGCCAAGTGGACGTTTGATGCTGAAAAGCATCATGAACACTCGAGGCCGGCAGACGCAGGATCAGGTAAGCTCCACAAGGTTTCCTTTTCGCTCCGACCATGTTGCGGAAACGAGCTCAAAGCAACACGATTACTCCTAATGTTGGCTCAAATTGGTGTATTGGTTTTCCGCGTCAATCTACTCTCTTTTATACCGGCAAGGAATGGGTTTTTTGCCTTCGCTAACTTTCGTAGGAAGGTTTCTGTAGGAAAATCGTGTCTGCATACAAAACAGCCTTAAAAAGCATAAAGTGGATTACTCTACTGCCACTTCAGGAGCTGACGCGACTCGAGACGACAGCAATTTGCATGACTGCCCCTATCCGGAGATGCACGAGCTGCTTGTGTTGGCCCATTCATGCCCACTTTGCTTTTCCGCGGTTCAACAGGTCGAGGTCTTCGCCCACTTTGCCCACTTTGTCCACATCGCCCACTTCGCCCACTTCGCCCACATCGCCCACTTCGCCCACTTGGCTCACTTGGCCCATTTACGAGTCGATCATGAACGACGAGACCAACGTCTACGAGAACTGCTTCCGTCGGCGTCACAGCCGAATCTACCCTGTCCGAATGGACAAAGTGTTGAAGGAGGCGTTGAGGCTGATGTCATTCGACGTCTCGATGGACACCGCAAGTTCCCGCCCCTCGTTGCCGTCCGCATCGGACAGCGAACCGGTCCTCGAGCCAACCGATTGGCATCTGTTCTGCTGCCAGACTCGGCTCGGCCGACTTGACTTGGACGAAGCGTTGCGTAGGGTCAATCTCGACCGAATGGGCTCCGATTCGCCGGGTTGCCGGGCCGACGACGTGATCAGAAAGACAGGAGGCAAGGTCGACCGAGTAGGAAGAATGGGAGGAGGAGGAGAAGGAGGAGGAGAAGGAGGAGGAGAAGGAGAAGGAGAAGAGGGAGGAGGCTGTCTACAGCAAGTCGGCCAAGCCACCGCTTGAGAGGGAGCGAAGTGGTGGTGTGTCTCCGGGCCGCCTATGAATGGTCCGGTGGGCGCCGCGCCCAGTTGCCAAGAGTAACTGCTCATTTGTACAAAGACCTTTTACTCATTTATCCTCTTCTCCCTCGGCTCAGGCTCCTGCCATATCTGCCCCCACCTCGGCCCTTTTTAAGGGCATAGTCTGCATTCATCGTTGTGTTGTCAGGCGCTGTATTCTCGTCGAAAGCGGTGCAAGCTGAGGTGGGCGCTTGGCAGTTGACATGTCAAACGGGAAGGGACCTCGTGTTTTGCTTTGTTTCCTTTCTTTGAGTCCATAATTGCTCTTAACCTTTTGGTGCATTTGACTACGCCAGGGACTCTCCGACACAATCGCCTATTTTGCTGCTTCATGCGGAAGAAAACTCCCTTGGCTTGCTTTCATCCAACACACAGGCAACAGATGACCATCTGTGCACAGACATTATTTACAGTAAAGTTTTTTGTTTGTTTTTTTCCTGTTTGCGATTATCTTTGTTATCTTGTTTTACGTTGATGTCACAAAAATGGGTGTCATCTGAAACCGGCTGTTCTTTTTTCATTTTTAGCCCGTGCCTAAGCCACTTAGAAAGGCGATTTCTACTGTAGACCAGCTTTTTGCATCTTTGTACACGATCTTTATGCAAAAAATATAAACTTTTTTAGCTGCTATTGCCTCTATTCTGCGCCATTTCATCTCATTACACTGATTTACTGGTAACCTCGAGACCCTACTTACTTACGAATATAAGTAGCGTTGTCGATTTCAATAGCAGACATACGTTTGATTCATCGGCACTCCCACCAAAAGAATATGATATAGCAGAGTCCTGACCGTCCTTGAAATTCACTTATGCC